GGCAAAGACCTCAGTGGGAAACAGTTTGGCACCTGCAAATAATCAAGGGGACGCCAAAGTGGCCAGAGGGGAGCATGGCAGAGGCCAGTCCCCAGGGCTACCTGGGCCTCCTCAGCCCCGCCTCTTCTGGGCTCCCTGCCCCATCTCCCTGGGCCTGCCCTAGAGAGAGACTCTAGGTACTAGGGGGCAGGGCTGGGTGAATAACAAGGTTACACGTGCTTCTTCTTTCCCCTTTTCTCCAGGAGGAGCATAAAGAGCTCTTTCTTTTCTGCTTATTAATAGCTCTGATTAAATTATCTCTGAAAAACCTACGTGGTGTGCACCAATGGGGGCTCGACTCCCTCCAGGCTCTGGCCTAGATTATGGCAACAAGGGCAGGTGAGGCAGGTGGGGGCTGGAGAGGGAGGCTGGGGCAGGCCTGCTCCCCCCACCAGGACAAAGGCTTAGTCTCTGCCTCACTCACCTCCCTCCCCAGCCCAGACCTGGCTCTGAACCACCCTCCCCCCGACTCCTGGGACACTCACAGCCCCCTCACTTGGGACACTGGGCCTTTGCATTGGCAATAACCTCACCCCTTCCCTTGGCTACCTCCTACCCATTTTTCACAGGGCTGCTGATCGGCCTTTCTGCCATCACCAGCCCACCGGCTGGGTCAGGTGCCTGCTCCGTGCTTTTCCCTCCTGTCACCCTGGATGATAACTGCTAACTGACTTATCTATCCCCCCATGAAACCTGAACCCCACACGGTCAAGGACTGTGTTTGGATTACTGCTGAATCCTTAGTGGCTAGCAAGGAGCAGGTACTTAGGAATATTTGAATGAATGAATGAATGAATGAGCAGAGTTAAAGAGGGAACAGGCACACCTAACATTACATATATGGGAAAGTGCAAACAAAAGTTCCAGGCTCCGGATTCCTTGAACAGTACCTACGTGGCGATGAACCCCATTTCACAGAAGGGGGAAACCGAGGCACAGAGCAGATGAGTCACATGGCTAGTAACCTGAAGAATCAGGACTCAGACCCAGTCAGTCTGATGCCACTCCCTCCTCCTGTCCCTGCTTCTCCACTACAAGAGAACAAAACAACACCTGGGCCACAATTACTCATTGGTTCAGAGATGAACGCTACAAAACTTTACTGAGCACTCACTGCATACCAGTGCTGCAGTGAAAGCAGTTCAAATGGAACTCCTGCCCTCATAGAGCCCTCAGGTTGGCAGGGAAGACTGTCAAATAAGTGGGCCATTATAAAATAGACTGGTACATCTAGGAATGGGGGAGCTCTCCAGCCTGGAGGGCAATAGTCAGGGAAGGCTTCCCAGAGGAGGCGACCCCTAGCTGAAGTCTGAAGGAGGAGCAAGAGTCACCTACCTGGAGGGAGGATATTCTAGGTGGAAGGGACGGAATGGGTAAAGACCTGGAAGTTAGACACCTGAGAAGCTGTGCAGGTATTTCAGCAAGGCTAGGATACAGGAGGTACACAGGAGCAGCGAGGGCTGAGGTGCCGCCTGTCCCCCAACCCCTTCAGGGCCTCCTGAACCCCTGGCTGGAGCCGGCATTCAAGTGCTGGCCTGCCTGGTGGTTCTGTGGACCGTGGCAAATCTATCTTGACGCTGTCTCCATTCACATAATGCAGGGTTATTGCATGTGACCAATAGCAAGGGGAGGCTGGATCGAGGCTGGGAACTGGGGGGCCAGGGGACACTGACGGGAGGGCCTGACCTCAGGGAGGTAGGCACTGTGACTATGGGAGGGCATAAGTGAAGACCTGAGGTTGAGCATCTGTGAGGCCATTCACCTGCCTGGAGGGCTGAGAGAGGCACCTGGAAGACTGAGCTCTCTGCCTATGCATCTGTCTTCCAGCCGCTGCTGCCTGAAATCCTACCATTAGCACCTCATGAGCTCACAGACCTTCGGAGATGGAGGGGCCTTTTGAGAACTGCTAAACTCTCAGCTGCACGTTGGAACCACAGTAGGACCTTTGGGGGCTACCAAGTCAGGGAGGGGTGCCAGCTCCAGAGACCCTGATTGGTATACCGGGCTCAGTTATAAGCCCCACCCTCCATTGTACACCAGAGGAAACTGAGGTCCAGAGGAGGAGAGAAAACTTGTCCTCAACACCACAGCCAGTCAATCAGTGGCCGGTACAGGGTGCAATAAATCAAGTTCAGGGGCTCTGGTGTTCAGCACCTGGTTCTGTCATTGTGTGACCTTGTGCAAGTCTCATGGCCTTCCCCGGCTGTAAGATGTGGATAATAATCGAATAGACCTCACAGGATTGCTAAGAAGGTAAGAGGAGATAGAAGGTGATATAAACAGCACTGAGCACGTGACCTGCACATAGTAGGTGTCAAGTCATGGTAACCTACCATGGAAAAATCCCAAACTTTTTGGAAAATAGATGGTGTGGCCCCATAGCCTTTTTCTGCACTTCCTCTCTTTCTTCCCAGGTTTGTTGGTCGGTCGGTTGGTCGGTTGTTTCTGTCCCTCTCTCTGCACCTGGCTCAAGTCCTGCACCGTGTTCTCCCCACCTGTCCACACCCCGGGTCCAGCCAGTGTGTTACCCAGGCAACCTGCCCAGATGTCATTGACAGCTCTGGCAGCTGGCCCCTGGAACAGACTGAGCAGAAGCAGCTGGGGGTTGGATCACGTTCCCAGGTAAATCCCCACCCCCACTCCAACTCCACGACGGTTGGGTGGGTCAGCCCGCGAGAACTAGAGCAGGGCACTGAGGCCAGGAGCTACTGGGAATGGAGCTCGCGGCAGCCGCTTGAGGACCTAAAACAGGGCCAGCTCCTGCCCTAGATAAGGCAGCAGGTGGCCTACTTGGTCGGGCCCTGGAGCTCCCCCTCGGGCGCCTCTCCCAACCTCTGGGTAGGGGGTGAGTTGGATCCTAAAAGTAGGCTAGGGTCCCACTATAAGCAGCCCATCTCACTGGGCACATTCACCAGGGTCTTCAAAGCCTTCCATGTCTGGATGACCACTGCTGGCATTTATTAAGCATTTAGTGTGTTCTGAACCCTTTCCAGCAATAACTTTTCGTCCACACAAGAACCCCCTAAGATAGGAATTATGATACACAGACAAGACACTGAGGCACAGAGCCATGAAGATAAATGTCCAAAACCAACAGCTAGCAAGAACAGGGCTGGAATCCCACCCAAGTTCCGTGGACTCCAAGGGGTCACACAGACATAGCTGGCTGAGGCTTTGCATTTCTGTAGGGACCCTGAAGTCTTTCCTGGAAAGCTGGCTCCCTAACTTGCTGTGTAATGGACACGTGGCAACTGGGAGAACTGTCCCTCCTGGGACTCAACTTCTCAAGTTGTAAAATGGGACTGCTAAGGAGGCCACCTGTGAGCTATCAAATAGACCTCTGGAGAACCTATGGGGCTGCCTAGAAAGTCAAAGGCAAGGTGCAGTACAGTTTGATGGATTTAAAATTTGGACACCAGGTGATACTATGCCTCAGATTCCCCATTTGTTAGGTGAAGGAGAACACCAGGGCCTGCCTCCCATATATGTGGTGTGGATACCATGAGGTGGGTCTTGTAAAGAGCCCAGTACAATGCCTGGGTTTATAGTTAGTGGTCCACGGATCTCAAATGGGATGCCAAAACTCATTCACTGCCAGAAATATGCCTGGGGTCATGTCCAAAACACTCAGGACAACGTGTCACTTCACATCTCTTAGGCCCAATTTCCTCTATAAGTAGGGAGGATAATAATAGTACCTACTGTATCGTTTTTCTCATCTGTAAAATAGGGATGATAATACCAACCCTGTAAAGGGTTGTTGTGAGGATTAGGGAGAGTACTTCATTACATGAGAGTTAACTTGCTATTATTTTTTTTAACGCTTTATTTCTGAGAGAGAGAGAGAGAGAGAGAGAGAGACAGCGTGAGCAGGGGAAGGTCATAGAGAGAGGGAGACACAGAATCCGAAACAGGCTCCAGGCTCTGAGCTGGATGTCAGCACAGAGCCCGACGCGTGGCTCAAACCCACAAACCGTGAGATCATGACCTGAGCCGAAGTCGGACGCTTAACCGACTGAGCCACCCAGGCGCCCCGACTTGCTATTATTTTTAACAAATTTCTTATAGGATTGTTTCTAAGATTAAATGAAACAATGCAGATAATGCTGTTAGCACAGTGCCTTGCCCCAAATATGTGCTCCATATATGATACTGGTTTTTCCATTGCTGCGTCTCGACAAAGGGACTACAAATACCAGCATGCTCTGCGCCCCAAGTCGGGGACCCTCCGCCCGGCGCCGGCGCGCTGCATGCCGGGAGTTGCAGTCCTCGCGCGGCAAGTCCCGCCCCACCCCAGCTTGGGGGAGGAGGTTGGAGAGCCGCCCTGCCGGCCTTTGAATTTTGCCGCGAAAAGCGCGCGTGGCGGCCCCCGGCCCCGCCCCCCGCAGGACGCGGCGCCGCGTCACCCTGGTAACCGCCTCTCGGCCGCCGCTGATTGGGCTGGATCGCAGGGGGCGGGCGGGGGGCGAGACGCCGCGGCCGCTGCGGGCGCTCGCGCCTGTCAGTCGGGCCGGAGCGGAGCAGCGGGCAAGACTGCCGGGCCAGCGGCCCCTCGGAAAGGCTGCCTGCTCCAGCCGGGGGAGGCGAAGAGCCGGGCCCGCCGCCTGCGGGACTCTGCGCGCGGCACCCGGGCCTGAGGCGAGGCGAGGCGAGGCGCCGGGGCGCGCCAGGCGACGCGAGGCTGAGGCCCGGGGAGCCCCTGCGCGCCGCCAGGGGCCATGGGCGCGTGAGAGCCCGGCGCGCGCCGCCCCTGCTGCAGCTCAAGAGCTCGCACGCCCGGTGTACCGTCCTCCTGGCCATTCCCACGTCCGCCCTGCGCCACCCAGACCAGTTATTTCGCGGCGCCGAGGCCACCGGGACTGCGTCTGAGCCTCCGCCGCCCGCTGCCGCCGCCGCGGCTGCCGCTGCTCTCCAGCTTCCCCTCCCCCCACACCCCGGGCTTGGAGTAGGAGGAGGAGGGGCCGGTGCATTCTCGCCGCTGCTCTTTGCAACCTGCGGGGGCCGGTGCATGCCCGGCGAGGAGTCGGGGCCGCTGCAGGTGCGTGCAGCCCCGGAGGAGACGACCCCCTCCCGCCCCCCGGGCGGACCTGGGGGCTGCGAGCCGCGGGCGGGCGGTCGAGCGAGAGGAAGCAACAAAGACAGGCTGCAGCTGGGGCCGGCGAGAGGGGCCGCGGCCGCCCGGCTCCTGGCGCGGGCGGAGAGGGCGCCCCGGGGAGCGGCGCGGGCCGAGCTGCAGCCCTGAGCAGGACCCCGAGGGGAGGCGCAGCGCCGCCCGCCGGACGCGGTGAGCACAGGCCCCGGCGAGGATGCGCCGCCTGAGAGCTCGCACGGCCCGGGTCCCGGGCGGGCACGACCCACGCTGAGCCGAGAGACCCGCCACCGCCGACTTCGGACGGCGCGGGTCGGTGCCTGGATCACCCTCACCGACAGCGTCCCTTTCCACCCGGAGAGAGGCATCGGCCCCCAAGGGGGGCTCCCTCAGGCAACCTCTGCCGCCTCTGCATGGCTGCGACCTGGCGAGCGGAGAGTCGTCGCCGCTGAGACCTGGTGCCCTTCAACGGCCTGGCTGATCTGGTGAGTTGCGCGGGGCGGGGTTCCGGGCTGGAGCTGGGGGCACTCCCTGGCTTCTGGGCTGCCGGATCGGAAATAAAGGGGCCCTGAGCTGTTGGGAATCTTGAAGCATTGGTGCTCCTTGTCTCCCCCCGCGCCCAAGCCCCTTTCCCTCTCACCCGCAACTTGTCTAGACCGGCCAAGCGGCCGGAGTGGAGGTGAGGGCCGGTTGTGGGGACTCCACGGAGCCCTGGGCGAGGCGTCCGCCAGAGAGGAAAGGTCATCCTACCCCTAAAGCCAACAGACAAAGGTAGCAGCTCTGTCATCCGAAAATTCCCGGGGAACTCCCGCGTCATGGAGGGCTGGAACCCTGGGGTTCTTCCAAGCAGCCTCTGAGAGCCTCAGGGGACAAATCAGCTCAGAGGGGGATGTAGAGCCCTGGCCATGCAGGTGGCTGCGTTTGAAGATTGTGCCCCCCCAAGGCTAGACCATAGCAGGGTCTCCTGTACAGCCCTCGTTCCTCAAAAAATCTTGCAAGGATGGTGGGTGCCCCAGTGGGGCCACAGCGTGACGTCACTGCCAGGCTTCCTACGTCACGGGTTGCTGGGGCGCCGCGACTTGCCTTGACCCAGGGCCGGAGGGGGCGGGGTCGTGGTAACCCCAGGCGGGACCTGATGCCTTTGGGTAATGGAGGGGTGAAGGCAGATTCCCCCACTCTCAACTATAGTCCTCTGACCTAAATCGCCAGCTCTTCGATGAGGTGGGGGAGGGAAGCACAGTGCCAGCTGTCCCTGCTGAAGCTCCTCCCCCCAAGGACAGGTGTTCAGCTTTGCCCATATAGCCTGGCACTGCCTGGGGGCTCAGGACTGCCAAACAGAGCAACTTTATGCTTTCAAAAGGGATGCTACTGCAAAAGCCTCAAACCCCACCATACACACATCCAGCAGGCTGAAGTTCCCAGGGTCCTTGGAGAGATGGGGGACCCCTGCCTTAAAACAGGCCACTTTCACTCAGGAAAAAGTGTGTGCTCCCCCAGCCAGGAAAGCTGCTGCCTGCCACCCCCCAAGTTGGGTTCCGCCTGCTGCACAGCCCCAGGATGAAGGGTCTTGGCCAAGCCCGAACTCCTGTCTGCTCTGCTCGCCTTTTGGTATTTAAGATGATTTTGACAGGCACAGTGTGGTGCTCATTAAGTGAACGGAGGGCAAGTCAGGCCCGTCGGTGCCAAGGTCTGAATGAAGTGTGCCCCTGCCAGGGGCCAGCTTTGATGGGGGTCAGGCACCAGCCCTCTCTTCCCCACACCCTCCAGGCACTGGGGTGTTCCTTGTGAAGGCCCAGAGATCCCCCCAACCCCCAGCTAGTATCCTACTGCTGGTTCTTTGATTTCTTTTCTGAGTTCCTTCCAGCAATTGCTACCATTGTCGGATGTGGGTGAAACGGCCGAGATCACATTTTGAGGTAAAGGTTAGAGAACTGTCATTGCTTCAGCGTGGGGTTGGGTGAGAGCAGAGGGAAGTGTGTGTGTGTGTGTGTGTGTGTGTGTGTGTGTGTGTGTGTGTCGGGGGTGGGGGTCATTATGAGAAGCCAGGCCCTCGTCTCTCCGCAGCCAGCATTTTTTCTCTTCTTCTACCCAGCTCTCCAGCTAGATTAACAGGTCAATAAATATCAGTGGAGCTGCTTTTGGGGGCTTGGCAGGGAGATGATATTTCCAGCTGAAATGGTGTCGTTAAACACACAGGCTTCCAAGGACAGAGCAACAGCAGATGGGGGGAGAAGTGGGAGAGGTGGGCAGAAGGGCTGTTTGCACTGCCTCTCGAAGCTTCCCGGTTTAGAAACAAACCCGGAGCGCGCGCCAGAGCTCCACAAACACAGGCAGTTGGAGGCCCTCCGTGGAGTATTTACACTTCCACAGCCAAAGCGGAGGGAAAGGCTGTCAGAATTGGGCAATTCCTTCTGTTCCCTTCCCTGGGCTTGGCAATAGCACCAGGCGACGAGCAGGAGGGAGTGCCAGCTTACCCAGCGTCTCCCTGTGTGCCAAGCATTGTATAGGATCTCAGTTACTGCTTGGAGTGGCCTGTGTGCTGCGGCCCATTTTACAGACGAGAAACAGGCTCAGGTGCTCAGCCAGGCAGCCTCAGAGGTTTGGCTCTGACGTGCCTTGGCTACGGAGTCCACAGGTCTTCCCGCACCCTTCCACGGGTGGAGGACGCCTTATGCCACTTGTTGGACCGGGTCCTTGCAAAAGTCTGGGGGCTGTTGGCTATGGAGGGAGTCTGGCCTCACCAGGTTCCTTCCTGCACCGAAACCTGGGTGTGAATCCTGCCTCCCCATTACCTACAGGATAGTTTTGAGCAGAGCAGCAACTTCTGTCCGGGCCTTGGGGACAGTGTGCTCCCCTCACCCCTGGCACCCCTTTTCTCCAGCACTGGGGGAAGGAAGGTGGGACAGGAAGCCTGCCTGGCTAGAGGGGTTGAGAGAGCTGGCCCTAGGCTCCTTGTCACTGCCCCTCAGGGCTCCCCTCGGCGCGGGGTGAGGCTTCACCCAGTTACTGCAGGGACCCTTTCAGGAGGCACTTAGCTGGTAGGGAAGTCAAGGATGTAGACTGGTCAGTGGCAACTCTGGTACACGTGGCACGTGACCCAGCCTGGAGGTTGAGAAGGGCCCTCTGGGAGGGGTACAAGGTGACTCTCAGGACAAATAGGGATCTGCCTGGCAGAGGCGCGCAGTGTTCTGGTCCTTGGGCTCGGCCTGCAAGTGCTGGGGTGTGCTGAATGAGAGGGGGTGGCCTCCGGGTGGGTGTGTCCCCGAGACTTGAGTAGATGGGAGAGGTTTAAGCAGGGGAGAGGACCCGGCAGGGCTCCCTCAACGGGGATGGTAACCCCGGGCAGTCTCCTCTCTCAAGGTTAGCTCCCTCCCCCCAGCCCCCAGTAATCCTTATCACTTGTCTAATTCCATGTAAGCTCACCCATCCCCTATCCCTTCTGAGCGCCACAGTTGCTCTGGCCGGGTAGGGGGCGGGGCTGGGCTGCGTTGCTTAACCCCCAGTGGTGGGCAGTGGTTCGTGGTTCAGAGCCAGGCTATGGAATGGGTCCACCCTTGTTGGCTGTGTGACCTTGGTGAGTAGCTTTGCCTTTCTGGGCCTCATCCTCAGAACAGGGCCTTGAATGACATTTCCTGCCTCTCCTGGAGCCAAAGAAAGGCTGCGGGGTAGGCAGGGACCCTTCCAGCTGCCTCGCTGGGTCTCCCACCCACCTACCCAGTGCACCCCACGTGGTGAGCACACGTGGCTCCCATCTGAGCTCGGCCGGGGCCTGGCTAGGGGCCCCTCCCCAACCTTTCCTGTCCCCCTCCACCTTCCTGCCCCTCACAAACCCGAGGAAGCAAACCGAGCAGCTCATATTCATGAACCGTAATTCAATCAGGCGGCGATTCCTCTGGGCTCGGGGCGGGGGTGAGAACGAGGAGGCGCGCACAAAAGGGCCGCTTTATTACCTCCCGCGGGCCGGGAATTGCTGCTCTCCCCCAGCAGCGGCTGGAGCCGCCTTTATTGTGTTAACCCATTTGCGTGTCAAGAGCTATTGTGCGCCTTCTCCGCCTGTGCCGGGCGGACTGCGGGTGGAGGGCCACACGCCGGCCGGTCACCTCCGCGGGCACCGCCCACCGCCCTGATTGGTTGCTAAGTGATTTGCATCCAAGGTAATCACTTTTATCTCAGAAGGATGTCGACTATAATTATAAGCTACTGACATCTTTTGAAATCTGCCTAATGACTATTTTAGTCTGCACTGGGCTGGGGGTGGGGAAGGGGATTCTGGAGGCTGGGGTGGGCGGGGAGGAGGCTGGAAGGGGGATGGATTCCTTACACCTGGACCATTGATTCGTTAGTTGAGAAATATCCCAGTGCCTACCGCCTGCCTCGAACAAAAGAGGGGTTCCGCATGAATCCGGGTTGCATTTGCGTGGGCGGAGTTAGTACCATTTCAGAGATGGGGAAATAGAGGCCCTGGGGAATACGAGCCACGTGCCCAGAATCACATACCCAGTAAGTGGTTGGAACCTGAGCCTCTCGGACCCCCAAATCCATGTGCTGGCCACCGGGTAGGGGTGCAGACAGAAACAATAGTGGTGAGCATGCCTGGAGAGAGTCACCTGTGTACCCCCCAGGGTGGATGTCATAGCCCTAAGAAATGCAGGTGCTGCTACCACCCCCATTTTACTTGGGGGGGAGGGGGACGTGGGCACAGGGAGGCTACTTCACTACCCAAGGTCACAAAGCCAGGAAGTAGCACAAGTATAAAGTCTGTTGGTGGTCAGAAGTGGGGGTGCAGGACACAGCATGGCCAGCTAGAGGAGGATGAAGGAGCAAGCCTGGGCTCCAGCCACCCCCTCCTCCACCCCCTGGGTCCACTCAGGCGCTGGGCATTGGGGTGGGCAAGGACACCCTGCCGGCCTCGGGGCAGGTGGCAGAGCTCTAAGGAATCGGGTGGCCCACAGCCTCCACAGGGAGGAAGATGAGTTTGCAACTAATTCGATTTCTGGTCAGAGCCCGAGCAGGGCTGGAGGAGAGACATGGAGGAGGGAAAAACCAGGCTGGTCACGGAGGGCTTCCTGACAGAGGGGGCTCATTCCCTCCAGCCTGAGGACTGGATGGATCTGCCCAGCATGGAGTAGAGATGATGTTGCTGGCAGAGGGACTTTGAGATTCAGTGGCATGACCAGGAAGGGCAGGGGAGCTTATAAGAGGGCAGAAGTAAAGGGAGAAAGACTAGGAGGGTATGCAGGGTCTTGAGTGCTGAACTAAGTACTTGACATGTCCAGAGGCAGAACAGCCTGAAGCCAGTGAAGGCCTCTGGGGTGGGGGGAGGGGGCGGCAGTGGGGTGGGGTATGTTGTTGGTGCTGAAGAGGTCAGTCTGGCAACCTTTGCCAGGAGTTGCAGATTAGGATAGAACCCTGGGCTCTTGCATTCTCACTGGCTGTGTGTCCTCAGACAGGCCACTTCACCTCTCTGGGCCTCACGCTTCTCATC